GCATTGACCGTGACATCAAAGTCGTCCCACTTGCGGGACAATAAAGTTTATGGTGATGATGATACACTATTGCGCGAAGGAATGATGTTTATAGTTGCTGCCCAGTGTACGTGTTTCACAGGCTTGGTTCTGCATGAAGTCGCACTGTTATCGATGTGGGCGGCTTTTAGGCGGTCTAAGCTCACGACTTCGTGTCGTCCATTCATCTCTAAAGTAAACGTCTTCGTGTCTCTGCGAAGTGCTTTGTAGGGACCATCATATTGTGGATCAAGTGATCTTCGGGCTTTGTCTCTTCTCACAAATACATGGGTTGATGTTTGTAGATCTTGGCTGAGGAATGCACCCCGATTAGATGTTGCTCGTGGCTTTACTGGTTGTAGGAGCTGCATTGTGTCGCGTAGACGAGCCACATAATCTGTGATGTCAGGGATTGACGCTGAAGGTGTTGCTTGCAAAAACTCTCCAGGAAGACGTAGAGTTGTTCCATAAACCAACTCCGCTGACGAACAGCCCAGATCTTCTTTGAAGGCGGACCGGATACCCAAGAGTACTATCGGAAGTACTTCAGTCCACTTAGTTGTCTGATGAGCTCGGAGTGCTGTCTTCAGGTGACGTTGGAAACGTTCTACCATCCCATTAGCTTGAGGGTGATATGATGAGGTATGTATTCGAGCGATTCCAAGGAGATGTGTGAGGTCGGCGAAAAGTTTCGACTCAAATTGTCGGCCTCGATCAGTGGTGATGGTGGAAGGAACGCCGAATCGTGCGATCCATCCGGTAATAAGAGCTTGGGCCACCATAGGTGCGGTAATGTCGGGTATAGGAATGGCTTCAGGCCAACGTGTGAAACGGTCTACACAGGTGAGTAAATATGTGTGACCGCTCGACGGTGGGAGAGGCCCAACCAGATCAATGTGGATATGATCGAAGCGTCGATTCGGTAAGGGGAACGTTGATAAGGGTGTTTTACTGTGGCGTTGGATTTTCTGTCGTTGACATTCCTGACAGGAACGTGTCCACGCGCGTACATCTTTGTTCATTCTTGGCCAAGCGAAACGTGATGCGACCGGTTTCTGCGTAGCCCGAATGCCAGGGTGAGAGAGACGGTGAAGCGTTTCGAATACTGGCTTGCGGAAGTTAAGTGGCACATATGGGCGAGGAGAGCCTGTCGACGTGTCCCATAATAAAGGATGAGCGGAGGATGGCAGTTCGATTTCCTCAAGTGTTAAGGATGATGACGGCTGAAGGTTTCTCAGCTCATTGTCTTTTTGTTGCGCAGCGGCCATAGCAGCGAAATCGATCTGATCATGATGTGGTGGTGTTTGTAAGACGCCGATGTCTGCCCGAGACAGGGTGTCTGCCACAACGTTGGCTTTTCCTTGAATGTGTCTGATATCGGTTGTAAATTCAGAAATGAAGGCTAAGTGACGAAGTTCTCGAGGCGTGTATCTATTTCCACTTGTAGCCAAAGCGAATGTAAGGGGCTTATGGTCAGTAAGGATGAAGAACCGACGTCCTTCAAGAAAATGTCTGAAATGCTTCAAGGCCAGATAGACTGCAAGAAGCTCTCTCCCGAAAGTGCTGTACTTTGTCTCGGTATTTGTTAATTTCTTTGAGAAAAATGCGAGAGGTCGCGACTGACCTTTAGTCTGCTGCTGAAGTACGGCACCGACCGCTGTACCCGAAGCATCAACCATGACATGCGTCGGGGCGTCTGGCTTCGGGTGGACCAAAAGGGTGGCGTTGGCTATCGCCTCCTTTATGGCCTGGAATGCAGAAACTGCCGCACTAGTCCAAGAAATTGATGCGCTTTGGTTTCCCACAAGAAGTTCGTTTAAGGGTTGTAGCTGGTGAGCGCAGTGTGGGATGAAGCGTCTGTAAAAGTTTAGCAGGCCTAGAAATTCTCGTAGCTGGCGTATATTCTTAGGTTGCGGAAAATACCGTATGGCGCTAACCTTAGATGGAAGAGGTGTAACACCGATGTGGTCCACGTGGTGTCCTAAAAAATCTAGTTGTTTAACACCTAGTTCGCATTTGTTGGCATTAACGACGATGCCGTGAGCGTCAAGGCGTTCGAAAAGCTGATAGAGGTGTCGTTGATGTTCACTCTCTGATGCGCTGGCCACAAGGATATCATCTAAAAAGGCAAAGCAGAAGTTCAAACCCCGTAGGACCTGGTCGATAAAACGTTGGAGTGTTTGAGCCGCGTTGCAGAGTCCGAATGGCATTCGAACGAACTCAAAAAGACCAAAAGGCGTGATGATGGCTGTTTTGGGGATATCTTCGGGTGCATCGGGATTTGGTAATATGCGCGAACTAGATCGACTTTGGAAAATACTTTTGTTCCATGCAGATTGGCTGTGAAATCTTGAAGATGGGGAACTGGGTACTTATCTGGTGTTGTGATCTTGTTGAGCGCCCGATAATCGCCGCATGGACGCCAGTCGCCATTATCCTTGGGCACCATATGTAGTGGAGAAGCCCAACTGCTGGAGGATGGACGGATTAGCCCGAGGTCGAGCATGTGCTCGAACTCACGCTTCGCTACGGAAAGCTTCTCTGGAGGTAGTCGGCGAGGTCGTGCGTAGACAGGGGGTCCTGTTGTGCTGATGTAGTGAAGAACATCATGCTTGATCGGACGTTGAGCGTTGCAAGGTTGTGTCAAACTTGGAAACGCGTAGAGAATATTTTCAAAACTTGATTTTGGTTTAGGGCGCAGGAGTGTCGGACTAATGATCGCTGGTTGAGTTGGAACTCCGTGGACAGTGAGGTGGGTTTCACGGTCCAGCAGGCGTTTTTTACTCATATCTACGAGAAGGTGGAAGTGAGCTAAGAAGTCGGCTCCGATTATGGCGTGTCGGACTTTAGCGATGATGAATACCCGACGAAATGTACGACGCAGACCTAGGTCTAAAGTTACAGAACGTTCGCCGTACGTGTGTATGGGAGTTCCATTTGCCGCTTCGAGTGTGTTAGTGTTGAGGGTTTTCGTCAGGTCGTAACTGTTAGCGGGTACTACACTGACCTCGGCACCAGTGTCAATTAAGAACCTCAAGCCAGTTCGTCGTTCCGTAAGAAAAAATAGTGTGAGACGGTCTGGAGATGTTCCAACAGCACTGGCCGTCCTCAGTTGTTGGATGGAGAGTTTCCCGCAAAGGAACAAGGAGGATAGCAGTTGCGGGCTTGCGTCCCGAACTGAGTGTGGTACCAGCACGTTGTAACGCCGCGTTCTCTGGAATGGCTGTTGCGGCGTGGTCTGGATCGTGACCTGTGAATCGGGCGACGAGGTCTGGGTTCATGCAAGTTTTCGGTGATTAACAGTGTGAGCCTGTCTACTTGCGCTTGAAGTCGCTGTAGTTGCGTATCTTGAGATGTTAGCGTCGTGATGGCAAGAGTCGGCGAATCCACGGTCGATGACGCGGTTTCCAGAATTCTATCCGCGAGTTCTGCCATCACGTCCAGGGAGACGCCGGATGAGGTAGTCAAAATCATGCGTGCATTTGATGGGAGGCGTTGCAGGAACAACTCGCGAAGAATCGAGTCATCTATGGCCGCAGTTCCTATCAGTTGCCTCATGCGTCGCAGAAGCTGAGATGGCTTGCGGTCTCCCAGTTCTTCCTCGGTGAGGAGTTGTCGAAGACGTCGCTGTTCCGACGCCGTTGTACGCTTGACAAGCTCGTGCTTGAGCCTGTCGTATGGCAACTCTGTGGGCGGCGTCATGATGATGTCCCTGACTTCGGCAGCTTCACTGGGGCTGAGTGCGCTGACAGCGTGGTGGAACTCGGTCGCTTGCGATGATATGCCTCGCGTAGCGAATAGGGATTCGACATGGGCAAACCACAAGGCCGGATCAGCGGGCCAAAAGGGTGGAAGTTTAAGGGAGACAACTCCAATTAGTGGTGTTGGCTCACCGTTAGCTTGCATGGTTACATTGTTCGACGACTCCGGATGAGTGGGTCGATCACGTCCGGGTCACCATTGTGGAGTCGTGAGACGTCATGTTTGAAACAGCCACTTTATAACATCCGTAGGATTAGAATGGCTCGAGTCCCGGGAGCACCACACGCGCCCCCGATTGCGTGCCTCAGTAGTCCTCTTCTTCCTCACATCAGCGGGCCGCTACAGTCTCCTGGGACTAAATGTTCCCCTAATGTTTCGAACCATGGTTAAAAGCGCTAAAAAGACGAACACAAGAGAGAATACAAACAAAGGAGCTTCTCTCTTGTGTTAATGCTTTTAGCACTTTAAGCCATGGCTCAAAACGTTCATCACCAACTAGCACAACAAGTACTTTTAGCTCCCCTAATGATGGACACAATATTGCAGTGTTGGGAATGAAATTGTGTGGTTCAAGACAAACATAGCTTTATTTTTGCATAAACATGTGTTCGACATTTTAAACAATTAGTACATGGCGCAGCACTTCCCTTTAAACTAGGCGAAAAAAATTGAGTATTACTTTTCCAGGAAACTGGACTTCATATATACCTTGAATCCTCATTCCCTTCTTCTTCCAAATGGCACACAGACGTTTAAAAAAAGTCTAATTTCACATTCGGCAAAACAGTAAAAGCATAAACTTGACAAAATGAGCGTGCTCGTGGTGTTATGGGATATTGAGGAAAGCAAGAAAATGGGACAAAAACGGGACGAGACATCTTTGCTGCTTTGTCCACAACTACAGCCTAGAAAGCTTAGAGAAGCCTCCCCCTTGATTCCACCTCGAGGTTAGTTCCTTCATTCCCTGCCCTCCCCCCCTCCCCCCTCCCCCGCACCCCGCCTATCATTACCTATCTTTCTGAAGCAGGCTGTCGCCACGGCTACCGCGGTTGCTGTGGGCCAAACATGTTCCTTCCTCCTCATCCTCCCCTCCTTTCCCCTATCTCCTCGGGTTTCCGCTGCGATGGTTGTCGTAGATGGACCAGCAATAAATGTGTTTGCTGCCAGTTGGAAAGATGTCTCGTTCCATTTTTGTACCACATTTTGTCGCTTTATTCAATATCCCAGGAAAAGCATGTGGAAGGTATTCTTGAAATAAACTGAGCACCAGCTTAGCCAATGATTATGCCAATTGCCATCAGCACAAGGGGGCTGGCCACGAGCCCACTGTCAACTCCTATCATATGGGACAAGAGTTGAAACGTTCTGCTCGCCTTTGGAGGAAATTCCATATTCAACGCCCAATACAGCGCAGTCATTGTGCTCCCCATGTTTTGATGGGGAGAAAATACAGCGCCAATAAACTGAGCACCAGCTTAGCCATTGATTATGCCAATTGCCATCAGCACAAGGGGGCTGGCCACGAGCCCACTGTCAACTCCTATCATATTGGACAAGAGTTGAAACGTTCTGCTCGCCTGCGGAGGAAATTCCATATTCAACGCCCAATGCAGCGTAGTCATTGTGCTCACTGCAGCCAGAAGAGTTGGTTCTGCGAATTGCAGCTCATCAACAGACACAACAAGTGAGGTCGCATCATTGATGCTGCTGCCTTCGTAGCCCACAGCTGGATATGTTGGAAGTTCTGCAGGGTCCTAAAAAAGTGTCGAAACAAGACAAAATTATGTTAAGAGGCGCTGAAGTTCCTAAACTTCTTGAGATTGCAGTTTTCTTTTCAACTACGGCCCTTAGACTGATTTTATAAAATTAACACGCAGATTGCATCCCCACATGCCTTACATGAGATGGCATTCTTGCCATGACACCAAAACACAAAACACCCCACAGTGAAATGTGTGCTGTTGCATATCTTCATTACCATCCTACTAAATTTAATTATTGCTCTAAAAGGTCAGCTGTCATTATAAGTCGAAAGGATGAGGATGAGAGAGAGAAGTACACAAAAGAAGCGCTTGTGATCACTCTCCCTCGTTTTTGCTCTTGGCGCTCGTGTTTATAATGAATAAACATATAAGCAACTAGCCTAACAGAGAATTTTTGGGCAGCTGCCGCATACCAAGGACAACCATTTCCATCACTACAACCTTGTAGATTTCCACTTCCTCAAACAAACACTTTTCTCCCCATGAAAACATATGCTTGTTTAACAAAGATAATAAATTCCAAAAAGCAACAAATAAAGCATATAACATTACGTGAATACATTCTTAAGAGGGTACTCCACCAATTTTTTGAGCTACCCAGACTAATCACTTATTCTAAATACCCAGGCTTTGCTCTTCCAGGCACGCTACACTCAGTTTCTTTAAATTCAACATAGCTATTGAGAAAATGCATAATCAGTTGATGCCAAAATCAACATTCAAGGTTCTGCTTGCTTACCAGTGGCATGATGTAACGGGCGATAAGACTTAGATTAAGCCAGCACTGTAGGAAACAGGCTGTGCCGCAACTTTTTAGTGAAGGCTGGAGTAAGCTTCCCTAGCCTTCATTTCACGCCATAAAATGTCTTGTAACCAGTAAGCAACCAGTTTTACTGCCTTCCCATCTTTTACACACACACATACACAACATCAAGTTTTAAACTTCAATAAGAAGATTAAGCGGAAAAAGAGAAAACTATTTAAAGCTTGTGAAATCCTGTCCCACCTTTTTACTCAAACAGTCATTGTATGCAGAGGGCGAAGTGAAGAGGTTGCTCAGAAGAGCTTTTTCAGAATATAAGGTAAACTTGACGTTGGTTCAAGTCCCAAGTGATTCAATGCACTAGATGGGCATTCGCGGCGAGAAGTGACCAAGAAGGGTAGCCAGCGCGTCGACCGGCCTGATACTAGCTAATTTATCACAACCAAACGCAGGGGAAGCAATTTTCGAACCCTCCCTTGGCTGCAACTCCCTTGATCCCTTCCGCAAAATAATTTAGAGTTAAGCTAGAGATGTGGTGTCAGTCCATCACTTTACTAACTTTCTTATATACAAATTATTTATCAACTAGCAAGTAGTCTTTATATTAAAGGCACCACAAGGTGCACAAGCCCTTTTAAAATTTATTTACCAGATTCTTGCTCCACAAACCCAAAGCCGGGGACGGCTTGTTGTCGTGAGAGCGCTTAGGAAACTTGGGCTTTTATGGAGAAATGATTGTAGGATACAATCTGTTTTGACTCCACCGCACTAATAAGTACTGTGAAAGTGCTAGTAAACATTGAGGTACAAACTAAAAATCTCTGGACTCCTGTCAATCCATTTTGTTGGCTACCGCACCGGCAATATCCAACCACAAAAGTCACCCAACAGGAGAGCCACGGAGTGCTTGGCGGCATCCGTTTTGCTGGAATCGTGAATATAACGCAATATCCCGAGATAGCCCACTCAAAACCGAGGGCACATTAGGTGAAAATAGGGGGTGAGCTAACCTTCAGTGTGCAAAAGTTAGCCCACCTTAAGAAATGGAGATTCATGCAGAAAATAAGGATGGGCTATATTTCAGGGGATGGGTCTTCTCTCGGGATATTAGGCTTCAAAGCTATGAAGGAGTATTAATGTCCTGTTCCAATTACATTGCTAACGGTTAAAAAGCAACTCCATTTAATTTTTCCTATTGGGTTACAATTAATTTAACTAAGTCGGCGACCCCGAAACACGAGATATAATTTGTTTTCCGGTGGTGTGTATAGTATTGTAAATATCAAATGTCAAAGTTTCGTGTCGGTGACTTGGCGAAGCCGAAACTAGCAGCGTAGCACGTTGCCAACACTTATAATTAGATGCCGTCGACGCTGTGACGCAATTGTCATCCAGCGGTCCCGCTGTACGCATGACCGGCTCAGTCGCACAAGGATTTTCAAGACATAGAGTAAGCTGCTCATTTCTTTTTCTCTTCCTGCTCCGCTTCGTAAATGAACATCAAATGCAGTAAGTGTTAGTATGTATTTATAAAGTTTCCACTTGAAAAGCGACTGCTATGAATAATAGGACACGTGCAGTGCAGGTGCAGCGCGGCTGTATCGGTATAATTGTGTGTTGCTCGCTAACAAAAAGAAGGAAGAATGGGAGACAGATGCTGTTCACAAGCAGACACATGAAGGCTGGGTGCCTTCATGTGTGCTCATGAAGGCACCCTAGTGCAGGGGTGGAACTTATGAAATGTACTTGGGAGCAGCTGAAACAGCTGTTTCGGAGAAGGTTGGGGAGCAGCTAAACTATGTTCTAGAGCACGCTCGGAGCAGCTCAGATCAGTTTTCACTGCACTTCAGCTTGTGCCTTAGACAAGCACAAGAGTAATTTCAATTGTGCTTAGCAGCATAAATGAACATGAGTAGTTAGGGACCTAGGTAAATGGGATAACAGTGTAACAGATGCGAAAACTTGAAACTTTGTGAGCCTTAATGAGAACCAAAAAGCAAGTACCATATGTTTCTGAAGATAGTGTCCTTGGTAATTTCTGAGGAGTGGCTTTCAGCTGCTCAAAATGCAAACCAGCACTGCTTATCGCACAGCCCACAAGTGCTCTACAAAATAATTATATGTGCGAACCACGTGACGTGCGTAAGCAACGGACGTGCAGTTGCACGGAGGAACAGGGCAACGAATTTTGAGTTTATCCTATTGTGCAACTTAATATCGAAGCAGCAGGCTACGATTAACGGAGTTATCGTATTTGAAGCAATAAGCAGGAGCAAGGTTAAAGTATGCCGAGCAGATCTACCGCTCGCGTGAGGGCTGCTGGCCCGCAAGGTTTCGGATCGGACCGCATTTCAATTCTATCAAATCATGATTTATCTTGGGGGAATGCAGGTTCCAAGTTCTAACAATGAAGTACTAAAAGGTATTGTTTGCTCATTTGTTTTCGACTGGCTGACGTCCGGATCCCGGGCCGCAGAGCCTCCGGCAATCTGACGCTCAACGACTCGACCTCACCTCGGCCGACTTGCTTAACCACTTATGGTTAAAGTATAACAATCCAGTCGCAGGTTGTGTAGCGCTAAGAATCCGAGTTTTTTCACGCGCTTCTGACTCGGAATACACAGGAAGAATAAATAGTACAAAAGATTGCAAGACCGACCAAGCTAAACACGCTCATTGTTGCCAATCGAGTCGATAAAAACCGAAACCAAGACAAAATACAATTTTTTTGGCACATGTTTTGTGATTTAGCGCTTAATGGCGCAAGGTATTGGTTGTGGCACAGTTTCTGCAACATGGCGCAGGATGGCGCAGACAAATGCGTCTGGCGCAAAATGGCACAAATGGTGCAGCCGTGCCACCCCAGTAGTGTACGCTTGTGAGAGTTGCTGCGGCCGGCAGTCGAACGGCGCTTGTTTATATCGGTGAAATTGTGCGAGTCTCACATACACACAACACTGTTAGCGCGAACACGACATCGGCACATTTTCGCATTTTACTTCGAAAGAGTATTGGCGACTACGAAATGTTATCACCTATATTATAGACCTAAATAAGCTATTTCTGTAGCAATAAAATGTTTTGATGATATCACTTGGTTTCTAAGACAAAAACTGGAATAACCGGCGATCACCTGTTCGGGCTAACAGTGTCGTGCTCTACTTCAACTTTGTCGTAATTGTTTCGGACTTACGTACTAGGCATACTATGTAACCCCAAAACACCTTGGAAAATTCTTAAAGTATGTGATAAGTGCAGGACACCTATGGAAACATCTTGAAATACGTAAAATGTGTGCCACCTAAACAGTCGCCGATTGATGGCAGGTAGCCAGCTAACCCAAGGGCGGATTTAGAGGGGGGGGGGTCCGGTTGTCCTGACCTCCCTCTTGATTTTTACATGTGTAAAATTTAGGGCGTAAAACAAGGGAGAGGGGGAGGGAGTTCCTAAACATATGGTACGCTGACCAACACGTGACCCCCCCCCCCCCCCCCCCCCTCAGGAAATTCCTGCATCCGCCCCTGAGCTAACCTGCTTGTGAGCAGCATCTGTCTCCTATTCTTTTTCTTTGTTGTGCGCAAGCAACTAACAAATAATAGAGCCATGCTGCACCCGCTGCGCTGGCACTGTACACGTCCTATTATTCATAACAGTCGAATTCGCTCTTAGACCAGCAGGTTTATAAATACACACTAACACTTATTGTATTTGGTGCACATATGCGAAGCAGAGCAGTTAAAGAAAAAAGAAATGTGCCGCTTACTTAGTCTTAAAAGTTCTCGTGTGACGGAGCCAGTCGTGGGTACCGCGGGATGACAATTACGTCATGGCGTAAACACGCAGTTCATTATCAGTGATGTCAATGTGCTACGCCGCTAGTTTTTGGCTTTGCCGTGTCGCCGACATAAACCTTTGACATCTGATATCTTCAAAGCTATAAACACTACCGAAAAACAAATCATATCTCGTGTATCATGATCACCAACTTCATCATATCCCCAAAATTGAAAAATGAAGTAAGGTTGCTTTTGAAGGGGCAAGCAGGTCTCCAAAACTTACACTTGACCGGAGGAATGCCACACTCCTTTCCTTGACCAGAGCTGGCAGTGCACACAGTGCGGCCTTGGTCAACATTTCTGCAATAACAAAAGCCACGAAGACAATTAGTACAAAATCAAACAAGAAATGAGGCTGCAGAAATTTCGAATGTCGAACTGTAAAAAAGTTCCCTTGTTAAAATTAAATTAGAAAATCCTGGCTTTTTCCTGTGCACACATCAATCAAATTGAAATGTGGAAATGCAAAACTGTTCAGTCATATTAGCTTAGACACCAAAGATACTATTCCCTTCTTTGTGCGACACGATAAACCCTCATGTCAGGACATTGCATATCAAAGTTTGCACTGCAGTTACATATATATTTTTATAACAAAAAGATCAAATCGAAACCAAGGCACTCATGCAGTATGGTGGGATGTCGCAACTTTCCAAAAGATGATAACCAGAATTGCAATCACTAGCACTCTGCAAATGTCTACACCAAAAAAAAAAGATTTTGTGGTTAGAACGCTGGAAGTCACGTGAATTGCTCCACTCCTCATGGTCCCATGCTCCCCACAACCACAAGTAAGCCTTTCCATGTGCCATCCTAAGAGACAAAATTTTGTTCCATTTGCTTTGCGGCACTGGAAGCTTTTTTGTGCTTTTTAGTAAAAGTTAAAATGTACTGGATGTTGTCAGTAGCTGCCGTAAGAAACCTACTTTTGAAGGCCATCAATATGACAAAAATATGTTGAACAAAAAATGTAACACCAATCACCGGAGGAAAGTGAATGTCATTTTCATAATGCTGGACGATGGGGTGACAAGATAGATGTATTGCCAGTGTGAGAAGTGTACATGAGTGACTGCATTAAATCTGAGAGTACAGCCTTGATTTAGATGCTGAACTGACCAACCAAGAGCTTTCAGAACAAAGTTTTAGAATGCTCGCAGAGGTAAGATTGTAGCATGAAAAATTCAGACAGGTAGGTCGCGTAGTCGTTGCCCAGTCTCCAAACTGAAAATGTTTGCTGGCTTGCAAATCCAAGAGATATGGCATATTTACAACTTGTTGATTAGGTTCGTTAAGGCGGGTGCGTTGGACTACCTGAATTGGAGCCTGGCCAGTTCGGCTGCTGCCGGGAAAAGGGCAGAAAACTTAAAAGACTCGGGACGGCTGGTACCTGCCACTCGACACTTGATTTTGAATGGCTCTACAGCACGCTCCAGAGAAATTTCAGGGAGCGGTATAAAACCAGTGTTGTTGCATTTGCATCCATCATGTCACAATATGGCACAGACTCAAATATGACAGTGATTGAACGGTTGCAAAAGCTGGCTGTAGCTTAAGGGGATTTTTATCGCAAGATACGGGTGACTCAATGAAAAATCTAAGGCCAAGTAGATCGGCTTAATTGAAATTCCAATAAGACCAGAGGCTGGATTCACAAAACAATTTCACAATGAAAAACGTCTCTACGACGAAACTTGAGAACAAATCCGTATTCAGCAAACAAAATTGTCGTAAAATTTGCGTGATGTGCGATGAAGTCCTACAACAACCTCCAAGGTGTCTACTAACTTTTTAGTCAACACGGCAGCACGTCAATTGAATACCTTGCCGTGATCCCGCGACAACCGAAGAGTTTAAGGTACAAGCGAGGGCCATTTGTTTTGCATGTTATCGTGCGTTCCGGTTTCAAGCAGCAAGAGAAGAGAAAGGAGGATGCAAAAATACGCTCTCAGGACACAGCTCAGGATTCGGCCTAGCAACCAAATTTGTCCTACAAGGCCTAGAAGGCTGACACGGCTAGACGCGCCATAGTGAATCAGCGGAAGGGGCCGCCCGCATGACTCTTGAGCGGACCTGGAGGACCGTTCTCGTATGGATAGCGTGATATTGATTTGGTGATTAGAAGTGTCCCCTCCATCGCTCGGTCGTGATTTTCTAAAAAGGTGGGCTGCAGTGGCGTCCCGGGAAATGTGTGTTGGTAGTGGACGCATTCGTAAAGTGGTATTAGGGTCCAGCACATCGGATGCGTCGTTTTGTTTGACATGGAGCTCAAATAAATGCCGTACAAATTTCTTTTGCAGCATGTGGTATGTAGAAACGGGCAGGCAGGTCGAACATTCTTCCTTGCGTTACGACTCCACAATCCATGTTATGTCTGGTGGGCAGATTTGTGAGCATTTTGCGCGACTCCCTTTTTCAATATCGCCTACGTCCTTCCAGATCCACGAGTTCTTGAAAAACTATGTGAAAATTTGTTTCCTTGCGCATGACTAAGTAAGCAAATGCCGCCCGTCTCCTTTTGCTTTAATGTCATTTGTTGGCGCCAGTGACAAATCTTTTCTTGGCCTCGATAAAACTGAACATTCGAGACCGTTTCCCCTTCGGTAGGTATCGGCATCATACTGCATGAGCACAGTAAACAAACAAGCATAATGAGACGAGCATGCCGCGACTGGCGCCGCCTCTGTTTTTCTCGAAATGCCTGTCTGCTCCAGCACGGTAAGCCTCCTGATTGGCTGTCTGGGACGCTCAAGACGCCATCACCATAGCAACAGTCTGCTCTCGTGGTGTTCAGAGACTAGCGAGATGCCGGAAGTTGTAGTTTTCCTGAACGAAAACGGCGCCTTCCTCCTCTCCCCTAAGAATGCGTCTGTGAATACCGATTTCACCTCTTCTTACAATGCTCGTAACTTACAAATTTCTTAGCTAAGATGTCGTAATATGAGACATTTTTTTTGTAAATCTGGCTTCAGGTAGCAGAATTTTGTAGACCAATCAGTATTCCTCTCCTTCGTTCTTAAAACTCGCACGCAGCGACATTGAGCACTGCAGTTTCGTGCAATCCATATCCATTCTGTCCACCTTGACTACTTTGATCAATTCCTACCATCAGATAGACCGTCGTCGTCCATGGCAACCCTGCGGTCCAGGTCTTCAAAAAATTCGCCGAGATGACGTTTCCCTCTAGCAGCCTCCAGGATCCGGAGGCTGCTCCTTGCCAGGGCAGCTGTGAGGCTGTCCTGGATTGACTTTCCTGTAGCAGCAGTGAACTCCTGCTGCAGCTAAAGGACCAAAGCAAACCAAATACAGTCAACACAATGGCACTCTTCCTCTCTGGCACCCAACTTTTCAATCTCAATAGTACTCACGATGGTACCAAGCTGATACGCTGGGTACATAGAGAGGACAGCGGCGACAGTCGGGTGCTCCGTCGTCACCCACAGTCGCCGTGAGACGAACGTTCTCGCCATGGCGTCGGCCACATAAACCATGTTGGGCCTGGTTTTGCAGAGTTCTCTCTGCATTTCTAGGACATGGGCATCCACGCTTTCTTTGTCCTCTCCATCCGCTGGGAGCACCACATTCTGCAATATAATTGATGGAAGTACAGACTTTGTGTCAAACTTCACTTGATAATATAATTTAAAATAATATTTCTCAAACAATCCTTCATACCGTGCCAGGCCTGATCACGCGTTTTGGGCAAGGAGTCCTCAGCACCCTCTGCTGCTTCGGTCGCGCTGGTGCCTCTTCCTCGCCCTCTTCCGCAGCTCGCTCCTGATCCCGGAGCTTCTTGCGCTCCCGTTTTGCTTTGAAACGCAAGGCAACGTGCCAAGAGTCCTGCGTGCACAAGCAAAAAAAGAATCTCAAACAGCTGCAGAAATAATAGTGCTGAAAAAACAATAATAAAATAAACTTAAAACATACAGCACACATGGTTCACGCTGAAACTTGAAACCGAAACTGTATAACAGGCCTCCTTTCGTCTGCCATTTTCGCCGACTACCGCGCCCTCCATTCGGGACTCCAACTATAGACCATTCCATTTAGCACTCTCTGGGCAGCACCATTTTGTTCCACAGGAGCGCCCTCTCCATACATCCGGGAAATTCAGCAGGTTCGGCGGGGTAAAACGAGAGAGAGGGCACGGGCCCGACTCTGCTAGCAGACGACAAAACCGAGAGGTTGCCATTCTCCATCTTTGGGCTGTACCGGCGGGCTGTACGAAACATCGAACTCTCGCTCGTGGCTGCTGTTGTGAAGTGGTTCGCATTCTTAGAATAGTTATGGCTACTACAAAATCAGCCTATGGCTCTATGTGGTTCTATTTCGGTAAATGATCAACTAGCATATCTTTTTTCTGTTACTTAAATAGCAGTTGAGTCAGCCGGCAGTACTACCCTCAACTACTGCGTGTATTGCGGCAGGAGAGCACGTTTTTATTTATCATTTCGGACTTCCACTCATGGCCGCTAAAGGCCTACACCAGTACGAACTTTGTATAGTGAAAAAGGTACAGCAACCGGATTTACTTTTCGCCGGAGACGGGCCAATCTGACACAGTTTTCCCTTTTTTTTTTATTTGCACATAGGTAACAGCGCAGTTTGACCCTGTTAGTCTTTTTATCTAGCAGAGTATTACACGATAACTGGCAAACCAAAATCTGCGCATCTGCACTTTAAATTTCCAAAATGACGCTATTTTAAACAGAGTTTGCATGCCAGCCGGATGATAGGTACAGCCCACTCGGCGGAGTAGACGTCATGCGGGGTGAGAGGGGGAGGGCATTTTTCTCTCTCTATTACCGTCTCTGCTATGACCCTAATTGGACGGTCTATAGGTGGCGCCACCGATTTCCAAAATGGTGGACATAGGGAGGGTTGGAGATGCTAGGTGGGTGCAGTTGCCGAGATTTGCTGGTATTCTGGGTTTATTAGGCGACACAAAGTAATACCGCTTCTAGGAGGTAGAACTAGACAAACAAGGGCACATGTTCCTATGTGGGAAAAAATCAGCGATTGGCCCTTACGTTGGTATATTTGCCTTATTTCCCACAAACACAGAGTGATCCTGTTGACGGCTTCTAAGATCCTATACTGCTTCTGGTTTTTTGTGATCTGGATCCCTCTCTTTTTGAAGCATGCGACAACACAGTGGTGCCACGTTAAGGCTCCTTGCTCAGCCAACTGATGTGGCCATGTGGTGGAGCGTGGCGGACGAGGCGAGACTCTATGCAAGGGGTGGCCAAGCTGCGGCTCTTCGCGTGTTAAAGTGTGGCTCGCGGCTCCCGCCCCCCTCCCTGCCACTTTCCTGCCTCCCTTTCGGTCACACCAGCACTTCCCCTCGAAAAGAAATGGAACGCGTTTTAAATCGAAAGACAGGTTGCAGTTTGGTAGTATTGTGCTACTCCAACCTTACGTACAGCTAGACTGCTTTTGACTCGGATAGATTGAAAGTAGTTTGAGTTTCGTTTATTGCTCTAAACAAAATATAGCCTCTCCCCTCCCCCGTGGTTCTTGGAAGTTTCGAGGTTTTGTTTGCGGCTCTTAGGCCGCCAACCTGGCCACCCCTGCTCTATGCCATCGTGTACGCAAGGAGCGAAATGGCGAAGCTTCGAAATGTTGAAAAACAAACTTTTGCACTGTTACCTGCATTATAGTTGTCCGCAAGGAACAAAATTTTCCCGTTTCTCATCACGCCTATGCCTCCAATACCACCAATACAGTCAAACCCGTGTATAACGAACAGCAGGAAACGATACGATAAGTTTGATATAGCAAGTAGTTCAATATAGCAAAAACCATTTACGACGAACTTCCACGATGCGTTCGTTATAAGGCGAGAGCTTCTCTTTCTTTCTCATCTTTTCGCATCTGCCTTGTAACGACGCGTTGAATTTTTTATTTTTTTTTGCATGCGATTAGATTTTTATTTGTCTTATCTTTTCTTCTGAATCGCTTCTCTTCGTGGGCAACCGCTTTAAGCTTAAAATATTTTTTTTTGCGTGCGTGCAGTTTTTTTTTAGCTTTCTCCCCTTCTGAATTGCTTCACTTCGCTCAACTTTGTTCTGGGTTTGAGCTTTTGGAACTTTCTTTCCTACTTTTTTATTTTTGTTTGGGGAGGGGGGAGGAAGAGGCTAGAAGACGATTGTTTGCGCGTTTTTGGGAGCCTTCCTGGAGGGAAAAGTTCGATATAGCTAGGGTTCGGAGTTTTCAGTTTAAAACTATAAAAGTACGCCGAATCCATTTTCTAAAATTCAGTTTTAACCGGAAAAGTCGAACCGCAGAGCCGTGGCGAGAAAGTGAAGCGACAGTGTCTATCGAAACGTGTCCAGATGTATGGGATACAGGAATGTCATCACAATGTTTTGGTTTAATGTGCGCATCATTGATTAGAACATGAATTCCGAAATGCCCCATGACTTCGCCTTGCACGAACGTGTTTCCAAACTCATTGTAAGGTAGACTGACTTGATGCTAGCTCTGCATGTTGTGTTGTGCCTCAAAACGTCGCACCGTGTCTCTTTTGAAGGTCACAATCGGTTCATTGTCCAATTTCGGCTCAGGCAGCGGTTCATCTCCTCAGCCTGCCAGTGTCAGCGTTGAGAGTGCATTCTCGAAGCTCAGGGTCATATTACCAGGAAAGAAAGAGTGCAGATCAAGGAGGAGGACCTGGGAAAGTACATGTGCGTGTACTATAATAAGATCACATAATCCTGATGTACAGAAGGTGAAGTTTCATGTTTTTTGGGCATAGATTTCATATCTGACTTGTTTTTACTTCTGTGTTGTTTTTTTTCCTTGTTTCTTTCACAGTTGCACACATTTGCCAAATAAAGGGTCCATTTCTCTTTCAATGTATCTGTGCCGTTATTCTTTGACTGATCACAAACATCAGTGCTACGTACAAGGATCATCTGACCCGGTGTCCGCTGGTGTTTATTTTATTCTTGCCGAAAAGAAACGATAAACTTTTTGGGCATAGGTATACGCCGAAAAAAAACGAAAATTTAATTTTAAAAAAGTATGCCGAATCAAAAAAGTATGCCAAATTTTGAAAAAATAGAGACCGAAAACGCGGAACCCTATATATAGCCAATCTGTTGTTCGTTATAAGAAGCACTTCTTACATGCATTTTCATTTAAATTTTTCGTGAGTTAGATATCGACAATAATTCGCTGTACGTGGGTTCGTTCTAAACGGGTTTCACTGTAGTTTTGGATTCTCTGCGTACGTCATGCTATTGATAAACAACTCCCTATTAAACAAAAGAAAAACAATGGTGGAGGTGGTTCATCCTTAACATTGTGTTGAAATAATCTCCTGGAATTAAAAATGTAAGACTGGTGATTACAGATTGTGTGAACAATATATGAAGACAACGAGTTTAGATGGATATTTTTTTAAAACTGCCTCGCACAAGTGAACGTTTGGTGAAAGTTAAATTGTATCACCACAAACCGCGAAAGATTTTGCTACTGTACGACGAACTCAAAAGATTTCTGTGTCCTCTCCATCGGCTGGGAGCACCACATCCTGCAATGTAATAGATGGAGGTACAGAACTTATGAAAATCTCCAGCTATTACTATAATTTAAAATAATTTTTATTCTCTGGACTGCTATCAATCTCCAGGAAATTGCGACTATCCTTATCAATACCTTGGTATTATAAATATCAAGACATTGATAATAAATCTATACATGGCAATTTTCAAATGTGAAAAATTCCGCAATTTATTTTCAGGAATGTTTCTTTCAAACCTACACATGTTCCGCACACCACTTGATTCAACTGAAAAGAGGAATGACAACAATAGATATAGTTTTGGAGCCCACAAGTTGTTTTGTCGAAGGGTATGCACTTGGGCTAGTTGGTGATCTATATTTCCGAGGGGAAAAGCGCTAAAAACAATGGACACGTAAAAGAAACATTTTGTCACCACACTCACTGCTGCATGGCTTGTTTTTTTCCGCTTGTTGATGAACTTAATGAATATAAGTATGGCACGTTCTCTCGCATTTAGGTTGAAAGAGGATAAAAATATTGAAAAATTCCATGTAAGCAGCTTTGTTCCATTGGCCAGAGCCCTTCATATTTGGAGAATGCATATTCTTTTGCATTCTTTCACTAGGCACGTTCCGTTCACCTTGGAATACAGCAACCAATAATGCCATTTACATTCAGAAATGGTTCAGTGCAAGACAAGGTCCCAAACAAATACGCCTTGGTTGCGGGCGGAGCAGCCGGGGGAAACTTGCTAGAGTGCTTCCCGTTTCCGCTGCGAGAGGGCGAGCAGTGAGCTAGAGACGTGTAAAGTTCACTGGAGTCGTGAGAAAGCTAATACATTCAAATAAAATAATATTCATTCAACATAGTAATAAACAGCATAAAAAGGCGGGACACAAAGTAGAAGACGGACACAGGGCATACGCTGACTAACAACCGAAGGTTTACTGGAACTTCCACGCGAACACAGTGACACGCGCAAGCACATGCTCTTCTTTTTCTTTCAACCCAAAAAATGCAAACAAAAAAAATTGGAAAAATAATGTGAGAAGACAATAAAAATCTACAGCGGAACAAGAAAATTATTGGCCTGAATCATGCGTTCGCACCATGATTATAACCATATAGGGAGGTTGTGAAACGTGCAACAAAAAAAATTGTAGAATTTTTTATTTTTTTTTTACAATGGCACGAGAACACAATAAGCTCATGGGCTGTGTTCACACCGCGTTCAGGACACTATAGCAAAGACCTTCACAACTGAGCAATTGTAGTTCCCTGTTTGTCAGATGCACTGACGTGACACTGATGCAGTGATCGTGATCTGGTCTACAGGCAAGTATATGTGCCGCTTCCTTTATCTCTCTCTCCAGCTTGCCCCTCTTGCATCCCACCACCCGGGTGTTGTCCAACGCAGGGGAACACG